GCAGGACACAATGTTGTCCTCCACTTCATAATATTGTCCAGCAGCCGCTCCCTTTCAGCATCATCTGCCCCAGTTCACCAGAAGATCGCTCTCACAGTCCTTATTACCACAATTTACATGACTCATATCTACTTTCTAAGGCATCTAGGTGTAGCTTTAATTCATTCAGGGTTTACCGTTTCTTGTTCATTAACTCCATACACTTGTATGATTTAGTAACATGACCCTTCCGAGCTTGTAGTGATGCTTTCTTTGCTTTGGGATCCATGGGGCTTGCCAGCCGCACTAACTTCCTCAGACCCAGCCATGGTTAGGGAATTAATAATCACCAATTATACGACTTAAGTAGACACTTTGTGAGAGTAATTCTTGCACTTGTATAAATCCCAGCACCCATGTGCTAGTAATTAATTGGGCTAATTATCATCCACCACACGACCGATTAAATTTGTGTACCCTATACCCACTTTCTTCAATCAGTCACTTAATTATTAAGTAATTAATTCAATTTTAAATTTTTCACTGATTGCATCCGGTTCGGAAGGACCAGCGGGCAGATATGGAAAAATTTTTATAGGAGTGATTACTTGTACGTACCTCAGCATTACATGCATACGGAGTAATCTCCCCTTTGGGAGACAACAACGATATTGTTTACCGTAGTCACCCATGTAGACATGTGAGAAAACTTAACCAAACCCCTGGTCACTGCAGGTTTGGGCCCCCCGACCCTCACAATCTTATCCATATCTATCCGAGACCAGTATAAAATTGGGTTTGCACCCCCAAGGACGGCACTATAATTAATTGTGGACTGTATAGATTATATTAGTTTAACTGAATGAAGGGGGGGGGGGGGTAGGTTACCATGGATATACCCATCAAGGAAAAAAACTTGTACATAATCCCACCCATTACCAGATATTCTCTGGTGGTCACTTGATGTGGCTGGATACCCATAACCTATCCAATTAAAAAAAATACCCCAACTGTTCCCGTATCAGTCTGCTATAACTAGAAAGGTTACTTAACTGTGGGTGATTGATGCTCCTTATTTCCTCCATTCGCCATCTCTTTTCGATGTCCTGCTTTCACCCACACGGTTCTTATTCCAGCAGGACGAGGTATCCGTTGGTTTGCCCCGGTTTAGAAGTCATGATTCCTTTAAAACTTCCTATCCCGGGGGGAAACCACGCGTTCATGGAGCAGGGCGATTTATTTACTTCCCCGCTTTTCCTTAAATTAAATGTTATTTCACTGATTACTTCCATTTAAAAGCGTTTTTAAGGTCTCTATTTTTTAACAATTAGAGGCCCCTCCATTAAGTCGAGCCCGATGAGTGGGTTTTAAACTCAGGGGTTTTAATTTCCCTTGGAATTCCATGGTGGGCCCCCGTCCCCACGGCCAAATTTTATCCACTTATTTTCCCCAACTTTTATACGGTGGTCAGTAAACTCGTTCCCTCTTCTTCAAGGAAAAATTTACGACACCCCTATTAGGAAGTGGGGCCTTATTAATCTTAGGCCGCCCCTTTTGAACCCCAATTTCCTGATCCCTGTTTCACAGCTTCCTACTACTTCAAAAACTCCCGCCCCCTCGTGCCCTAGTTCGACCTATAACCCCGCCACTGCGCGGGCGCGCGGGAAACCCCCCAGTTGGTTCCTTCAAATAAAAATACATTTGGCCCCAAAAATAACACATTAAAACTTATTGGCACATAGCTTCGGAAATAAAAAATTTCCCAACAGCAGCTGCATTTGACATTAAGGTGAGCATGGCCCATTTGGTATGTGTGGTCATGATAAACGTTGTTCGCAGAGTGTAGGAGATTTTCCCTTGTCCAAGTACTGTGGTGTTGCGTGTCGATGAGTTTTGCTTTATGGTAGTTTTGCAAAAGATTTTGCTGCAAAAAGGCTTTCTTGATTGAGTATGTTTTTCCTGCATAACAGGAAAAGTTGTTGCAACAGATACTTATCAGTATTTTTTCCCAGCAAAAAAATTGAAATGGTTGACACAGCAACACCTGGTATTTTGGTACCTACAGGGAAATTTTGTTGCAACCCCTTTGCTAAACTTTTTTTAGTATGACAAATTCTACAAATGGGCCTCACCTTTGTGACATCAACCCTGCTTTTTAACTTTCTTCTCCCTTGTATAAAAGGGTTTTTTTGAAGGCCTACCTTTAGGGTTGGGGATGCCCATTCCCTCCCAAGGCTGATTGCGGGGTTCACATCAAAATACTTTATCTTTTAAAAGGGTTTTATTCCGGATTTAACTGAAGAAGCCTTTTGTGCAAGCGGCACATTTCAGCAATAAAGTCCAAAAGTTTTGCAAATGTGTCTCTTTCTCAACTTGTAGATTGACACCATTAGTGTATCCCTATTCATATACACCACCATTTAATTTTTTACACAGGACTTGATTGTTTCATTTTTTTAACTGTTTTTTCACCACCCCCCTGGCAAGATAGTGATGGAGTGAGGATGAGAAGTGTTTTTTTGCCTGGGTGGGAAATGGCCGATTCTTAAAAAAAAAATTGTTGTTTACATAAATAGTTTTTTTGGCTTTACAGATTAATGTTATGTTAAAATTTTGAAAAAAAAAATATGCATCAACTTACCCAAAACCCATGATGAAAAGGGAAACCTTATGAAACATAGGGAAAATTTTGAGGAAACGTTTTGCCACACAGGGGCTTTGTCGCCCTTTTTCAAGCAAAAGGTGTAAGGAGAGGAGTAGTTTGAGGTAATCGTCCCTCAGCTGGGTGTGTGTTCAGTCCATCCAGTCTTTTAGAATGTAAGTGGGCTGTAAGTGGCTTATATACTGTAGTTGGGGGCAAAACAGGAGGAGGCGGGGGCATAGTGGAACCATTCACTAGTCTAAGTAGGTCTTCGTCCAAAGGTTTTGGAAAAGTGTTGAAGAATTCCTTGTTCAAGGTCCCTTTTCTTCAACTTGTTGTTTTTTTTTTAAACCTTTTTCCCCAAATATCAAAATCATTTTGACCATTTCAAAATTTTATTTAAAAATTTTTTTATTTCAAAAAAATTTATAGGGTTTAAATTTTTGTCCTCCCAAAAAGGGATTATTTCAAGAACAGCTACGTTTTACATGTAATTCACACCAAGGAATGGTGGGGCCTCGCAGAACAGTTGGCAAAAAGTTGTTTTCCCTGTAAAATTAATGAAGGTCAGGTATACCTTGGGGGTCAGTAAGGTCGGGCTACCTTGGTGGTCGTGAGGTAGGTATACCTTGGTGGTCAGTGAGGGCTGTCATACCTTGGTGGTCAGGAGGTCCCCGTCTACCCCTATGGCAGTGAGGTCGGTATAAAGTGGTCATGAGGTCGGTCATGCTTTGGGCAGTGAGGTCAGGTCAGACTCTGGGTCAAAAAAGGTCAGAATAATAATAACAGCATGGTTTCTTCAGTTGTACCAAGCAACCTGAAGGATGCTTCTAGGGGTCAATGCCTCTGTAGGCATCTTGGTGGATCAGCACCTGATCAACCAGGCTGTTACTGGCTGAATGATACAATGTATGAGCCAGCCCGCCAGGCAGGAAGGTTTGAGAAAATTTTTTCTGTTTCCCCTTTTTAAGACTCCAGAGGGTTTTTTGGTAATTCCCCTTATGCACAGTGCATGGGTATTGAAGAATCTGGGAATGAGTGACAGAGGGATTGACCTCTAGAAGCATCCTGCATGTACTAGCAGCAACAGCCTGGTTGACTAGCAAATACCCGTGAGTGTGGGTAGGTCAGGGTCGGGAGTAGAAAAAAAAATTGGAAAAACACAAAAGGTATTCAAGGAATCCTTCAGGTTTCTTGCAACGCTGAGTAACGTGGAATAGATTAAGTGAACACATCAAATCTTGGCCCCCGACTATTAACATTTATAGAGTATCAGAAACACTGTGGGACAAGTGTGAAATATTCAAGAGAAACTGGACGGTTTTCCCCGATGCCGGTCAACCGGTGTGTGGATATGTGAGTCATGGGCCCCAGCAGCAACAACCCGGTTGACCAGGCAAGACCAGACAAACCTGGCCCAAGGCTTTTTTACTCTTGGAGTAGAAAAACTCTAGGGGTCATCAAAGGTTAATTGAAGGGGACATGGGAATGTACCTTGCGGCCTACGCACCCAAAGGAGTGAGCAGGAGTGAGATTCCCGTGTTAGGGGATACCCTTTTAAAATACCCTTTTATTTAGTTCAAGGTTTTTTTTCTCAGCCAGGTTTATCTGTGTTGCCCTTTTAAAACCCGGCTGGTTCTGGCGTGTGGCCCCCACCATACAGCCCCGGTTGATCCTGCCTTTACAGAGGACTTTTGATCAAATAGGCTTAGGATTTATACAATGTTATCTTATTGTTCTCATGGTGCCCTGCTTTACTGGGTTTTTTTCACATTTTTTTCCCATCTCTCACTAGTAGTTATGGTGTTTACAGACGGGTAGTTTTAATTCTTAGGACCAAGAGCCATCCCTTAAGGGTCTTCCCAAAAGCAACCCCCTTAAAGGGTCTTCATTTTTTATGTTTTTTTTTTTTAATGAGAAGCATATTCCTGTACCTGTATATGATTCTAGTTTCTGTTTAGCTCAGCTTGACCTTCCTCCTTCCATCCTCTTAAGAGGTTCTTATTCTTATAGCCAAATCAGAGCTATTCCAGTTAATGTGGAACCCATTTATAAACAGTCATTTCAGTTGCATGGGGAAGGTGGCAGTTGTATTGATTTATCAGAGCATAAGATATCATAGAGTAGTAGGGGTAGGTCAGCATCTGTTTTCTCATTCTTGCACTACCATGGATGTACACAGTAAATGAACGAAAAAATGTGGAGCTGCCTTATCTACTGAATGCATAGTGTAATACTTGATGTTAGCCACAGTGCACTACTAAAGTCTCCCACCTCAGATTTACATATTATATTATCTCTTGTATGCAACCCATCCTTTATGATAGAATGATACACAGTGTTTTATTAAGTCCAATATTGATTAATGATTGTGTTAAAGGTGTGTGTTGTGGGGAACTGTGATTCTCTTGGGATGTGGGACTCTCAGCGAGTGATCCCACTCTACTCTGAAAACCCATCTATGTACAGTGAAGAGACTGTGTGGTCAACTTCAGTTCAGATTCCTTTATCAGGGGTAAGTATCTTAAAATTTCATGCTGTATTTATAATGTAATTATTTATTATATACATATATATTATATACATCAACACTTGGTTTTGAATTTCTGCTGGTTTTACAATACAGTATAATAGATTTAAAATTTTCATTATTTTGTCTGTTGATTAGTGGTCCCTGGTTGTTGAAGAAAGGTAAGCATTTTGAAATAAGAACAGTTGAATGTACAGTTGCTAAAATGATCTGGAAAGGAAGTAGTATGCATAGATTTAATAGTGCAGTGCTTGTATATGTATGGTATACAGTATGTACAAAATGAAGAATTAGATGCATATGGAACATCTGGGTATCTTTATTGTAAACATTTTTTCATCCAGTAGCTTTATCAATGCAAATTCAAGGACATAATTGGAAGACAGTAGAAATATATACAAAAGATGAGGTCATCAGTCCCTCAGCCTTGGAGGTGGTGAAGAATACCATGGTTGCGAGGAGTGAAGCAAAGGCATGTAGATTGGCACTTATGTACTGGTGTCATGTAAGTGACGTGTAGCAGATGAAGAGAGTGAATATCAAAAAGGTATACATTTCCAACAAGTTGGTAAGTAAGGCACATAGGCAACATTTAGGCATCTTTATTCCAAAACGTTTCGTCTACACAGTAGGCTGCTTCAGTTGAGTACAGAAAGTAAGCAGGAGCACTAGAGATGTGAAGATGATATAATCAGTCCATCACCCTTGAAGGTGTAGCTTTGAGGTTGTCAGTCCCTCAGCCTGGACAAGAATTCTGTTTTATAGTCTGAAACAATGTGAAGAACAAGCGACAGTGTGGAGACTTAGTATACAAGTCTCCACACTGTCACTTGTTCTTCACATTGTTTCAGACTATAAAACAGAATTCTTCTCCAGGCTGAGGGACTGACAACCTCAAAGCTACATCTTCAAGGGTGATGGACTGATTACATCGTCTTCACATCTCTAGTACTTCTGCCTACTTTCTGTACTCAACTGAAGTAGGCTACTGTGTTGGCGGAACGTTTTTGAATAAAGATGCCTAAATGTTGCCTATGTGTCATACTTACCAACCAGATAAAGACAATCACTGGTAGGTGGGATTCCCCCAGTGGAAGTAGGTCATACCCGAGGGGCAGGCTAGTAGCAATTAAGATGGTTGTGGAGATGTTCTCAGAACCAAGATTCCACAAAGTTGCAGTGTCTGACAAGTTGTATATGTATGGTATAATACCGACAAGATGAACTAGACACATGTGCAACATCTGGGTATCTTTATTGTAGATGTTTTGCCATCTAGTGGCTTTATCAATACAAATTCAAGGACATAATTGGAAGACAGTAGAAATACTTACAAAACATGAGGTAATCATCTGCTACACGTCACTCACATGACATCGGTATATACTGTATTTCGCGGCTTATAAGACTTGTTTTAGTTTCAATGGCTCTTCATCGGATGTAACATGGAGAGCTACAGCCCACCCCACACCCCAAACTTATAGCTTCCGTTACTGACCTTCACTTTATAGGACGCAGGGTGGGTTTTGGAGACCTTTTATGGAAAAAAAATGCGTCTAAAAAGCCACGAAACACAGTAAGCGCCAATCTTCATGCCTTTGCTTCGGACTCTTCACGGCTATGGTACTCTTCACCAACTCCAAGGCTGAGGGACTGATTACCTCATCTTTTGTATATACCATTTCCACTGTGTTCCAGTTATGTCCTTGAATTTGTATTGATAAAGCCACTGCAATGTTTGCACAGCAAAGATAGTAACGTTCCTTCCAAGAAGCCCTGGTGGATCTTAATATTGTGGATTGTGAAAAGGATTTAGGAGTTCTGGTTAGCAGTAATCTGAAACCATGACAACAGTGCATAAGTGTTCAAAATAAAGCTAACAGAATCCTTGGCTTCATAGCAAGAAGTATGAATAGAAGTCCTCAGGTTGTTCTTCAACTCTTTATATCTTTGGTTAGGCCTCATTTAGATTATGCTGCGCAGTTTTGGTCACCATATTACAGAATGGATATCAATGCACTGGAAAACGCACAACGGAGGATGACAAAGTTGATCCTGTGTATCAGACATCTTCCCTATGAGGATAGACTGAGGGCCCTGAATCTGCACTCTCTAGAAAGGCGTAGAATTAGGGGGGATATGATTGAGGTGTATAAATGGAAAGCAGGAATTAATAAAGGGGATGTAAATAGCGTGCTAAAAATATCTTACATAGACAGGATTCGCAGCATTGGTTTTAAATTGGAAAAATTCAGATTCAGGAAGGATATAGGAAAGCACTGGTTTGGATGAGTGGAACAAACTCCTGAGTACCGTCATAGAAGCTAAGACATTGTGTAATTTTAAAAATAGGTTGGATAAATATGTACATGAATGGGTGTGGGTGGGTGTGAGCTGGACCTAACTAGCTTGTGCTACTAGGTCGGATGCCATGCATCTCCTTTAAGTGACGTGTCTGACCTCACTAGGTCAGTGAGGTCAGACGGTCAGTGAGCTTAAGGTCACTAGGTCAGTGAGCTTAAGGTCACTTGGTCAGTGAGCTTAAGCTGGTGGGAGAATTGGACCTGCCTTGCATAGGCCAGTAGGCCTGTTGCAGTGTTCCGTCTTTATGTTCTTATTTATGTGGTATAAAGTGCAAGAATACTTTAGTTCATTGGATTTCCTCCTCATCAGTCAATTATAATCCAATTTTCCACATTCATGGTAAAACGAAGATGTATACCTAAATAAGACTTAAGAACAAAAGGTGTGAAGACCCAAGTGGAAATATGTCATTTTGTCTGACTTTTTAAGGTTATCGTAGGTTTTCTACACATATGCTGTTATGTATTATAATCTATGTAACTGTATTTGTGCATACCTGAATAAACTTATTTACATACCGAATTTGGTGATACTTGCCCATTTACACTCTTAATTTTTAGCAGCATTACAGTGTTAGAGCACCATCACTGTAATCTACACTGCATCCACAGCAGTATCTTAGCCACTTAATAAGCTGGCTGTTAAATATTCTCTGTTGGCTATCATAGATGAAAAAATGTCAGTTACTCTTAACTGCTTCCAGTTGGCCTTATTCATTACCACTTCATATGTGCTATTTATAACCATTCTGCACTTCCTCACACACTATATCTCCCTCTCTTTGGTATACCTTCAAAGTTTAATTAATTACAGTGCTCTCTCTATGCCACTTTGTCCATTCATTCATTTAACATAAACATACAGTTGTGTTGTGCACATTTAGAGTTGGTTACATTTGTAATTATTTTTTCATGTCTCGTATTTTTTGTCAGGTTGAGTATCGTTATTGTGTGTGTATCATCCTGGAGGGCCGGCCTGGTCTACATGATGAACAAGTTGTCGTGGTCAGACGTTGGGAGACAAATATGTTGCCCAGAAAAATTCCTGATGGAGGTAATTGATAAGTACTTGTCCATATTTTTTGTCTTGTGTGTGTCAAGTTTCTCATGGGTTGGGCAAGATCTATGTAGTGAACAACACTTACTGTAGGTTGGGCAGGACCTGAGTAGTGAACAACACATTTTGCAGGTTGGGTAGGACCTGGGTAGTGAACAACAATCACTGCAGGTTGGCCAGGACCTAGGTAGTGAATGATACACACTGCAGGTTAGGCAGGACCTGGGTAGGGAACAACACACTACTGGACTGGCATGTTCAGTTATCATCTTCCCACAAGAATCATCACCCATTACTTCAAGGTACTCAGGCCACTATTAACTCACCTTTTACTCTTAAATGTTCTGTGAGACTGTTCAGCTGTTCTCCCTGTGAGTATTCAGTATTATATTTTCATACAGCTTTATTCCACATCACCCTTGTACACTTAATTAGCTTGGTAGTTGAAGTGTCATTCATAACTATGGGTTGTCTTTCCTGCAAGTAGAATTTGAAGTAGAGAAATGGTGTGGTGATACTGACAAGATGTGGAAAAAGACACTTATGTACAGTTCAGGACATTTATTGAAGGAAACGTTTTGCCATGAGTGGTGAAAGGACTGAAGAAGCCACGCGTGGCGAAACATTTCCTTTAATAAATATCCTAAACTGTACACAAGTGTCTTTTTCCACAGAATTTGAAGTCTCAGGTAATTGAGTTTGCAATGAGTTATGTTTTCAGTTTTATTGAAAGCATTATGCAGATTATTACGAACATGGGTAAAGAATGGCCTATGAGACCTGGTCGTAATGGGAATGTGGAACAAACAAAACTCAGCAGTAGATTATAATGCATATTTGCCTTCACCAGATGATACATACAGGTATGTAAAGGTAGAAAGTTGAAAGTAAACATAAATAAGAGTAAGGTGATGAGGGTATCAAATGATTTAGATGAAAAATTGGATATGACATTGGAAGGAGTATGGAAGAAGTGAATGTTGTCAGATATTTGGGAGTTGACTTGTCAGTAGATGGGTTTATGAAGGATGAGGTTAACCATAGAATTGATGAAGGAAAAAAGGTGAGTGGTGATTTGAGATATCTGTGGAGACAGCATTATCCATGGAGGCAAAGAAGGGAATGTACAAGAGTATAGTGGTACCAACATTCTTATGTGGGTGTGAAGCATGGGTTGTAAATGCTTTAGCGAGGAGGCGGCTGAAGGCAGTGGCAATGTCCTGTCTAAGGGCAATGTGTGGTGTAAATATTATGCAGAGAATTCATAGTGTGGAAATTAGGAGGTGACGTGGAGTTACTAAAAGTATTAGTCAGAGGGCTGAAGAAGGGCTGTTGAGGTGGTTTGGTCATTTAGAGAGAATGGAACAAAGCAGAATGACTTGGAGAGCATATAAATCTGTAAGGAAAGGAAGGCAGGGTAGGGGTTGTCCCCAAAAAGGTTGGAGGGACAGTGGTAAAGGAGGTTTTGTGGGCGAGAGGCGTGGACTTCCAGCATGTATGCATGAGCCTGTGAGATAGGAGTGAATGGAGACGAATAGTTTTTGGGACATCGCCGAATAAATTGTAACATTCTCTTTGCATGCCACACATCAATTATAAGAAGTCCAATACAGTACTTATTTCTTTCAAATGTTTCATAAATTGTGTCAAGAATTTTTACTGATTGCATTGTGAGTGTTGTTTGGAGGAAGGGAAGGGGTCCCTGATCTTAATCAGCGAGTGAGCATTTTGGTGAAGTATGAGTACAACTGCTTGCAAGTCATTTTCTCAGATTGTTTTAAAGTATTATGATTATTGTTCTGTGATTTGTAATATTGATTTGATCACCACCTTTGTAGATTGGTGTTATTCTGGCTCTTTTGAGACTGGAAAAGTTTTCTTCAAATGATTTTTTTTTTATTAACACATCAGCTGTTTCCCACCAAGGTAGGGTGGCCCAAAAAAAAAAAAAATGATTTGTTGAAAGGTATTGAATTAAAGGGAGAGAGTACTTGTGCAGCTGTCATGTAAATATTGGTGGAGATTTCTTCTGTGATATTAGCCAATTTTTTAAGTGTTTTTTATGATTGGAGGTTTTTCAGAATGTGTGGTAGGAGAAAAGTAAAAGAAAAAGAAATTGTAATTATTGGTCAGATAGCTACTGATGCTGGTTGGTGTAAGCCTCTGGGATGGTTGAAGATTAGTTCCTATGGTAGAGATGATGTTGGTAAGCTTATTGACAGTATTAGTAGTTGGGAGGGAGGATACCTTTGCTCTGAAGAGAATTATTTACTTTTGTTGATATTTTTTTTACCCTAGAATTTCATAATGTTTTCTAAGTTTATTGAATGCCACCTTAGGAATTGGTGAATCCATAGAATAGTAATTTTTCTCAGATACTCTTAATTATTCTTCCTTGGAGAGAAGGCCTTACCTATTCTTTTCAGTGGTGTGTCATGAAAATTTTTAGAGTAAGCAAAAGACACTGGTAAGTTTTTTAAATGTGAAGCATGAGTATTAATAAATATGTTTTTATTGATTCAGTCAACGAATAAAATAAGTAATAACCTACAATATTATTTAACATGTAGTACACTAGAATTTATGACTTTCAAGGAGAATGGTCACTGGCTTGCTCTGAATATTTTGCGTGTTGTAAAAGTCGACTAAAATGCCGGGAACAATGGGCTAGTAACCCCTTTTCCTGTAAAAATTACTAAAAAGAATAAGAAGAAAATTGTCAAAGTGGGAAGTCTGAATGTGCATGGATGTTGTGCAAATGATAAGAAAGAGATGATTGTGGATGTTATGAATGAGAAGAAGCTGGATGTCCTGGCTTTAAGTGAAACTAAGCTGAAGGGGGTGGGAGAGTTTCAATGGAGAGGAATAAATGGGATTAGGTCAGGGGTTTCAAATAGAGTTAGAGCTAAAGAAGGAGTAGCAATAATGTTGAAGGATAAGCTATGGCAGGAAAAGAGGGACTATAAATGTATTAATTCAAGGATTATGTGGAGTAAAATAAAGATTGGATGTGAAAAGTGGGTTATAGTAAGCGTGTATGCACTTGGAGAAGAAAGAAGTGTAGAGGAGAGAGAGATTTTGGGAAATGTTGAGTGAATGTGTGGGGAGTTTTGAATCAAGTGTGAGAGTAATGGTGGTTGGGGATTTCAATGCTAAAGTGGGTAAAAATGTTATGGAGGGAGTATTAGGTAAATTTGGGGTGCCAGGGGTAAATGTAAATGGGGAGCCTTTAATTGACCTATGTGTAGGAAGAGATTTGGTAATAAGTAATACATATTTTATGAAAAAGAGGATAAATAAATATACAAGGTATGATGTAGCACGTAATGAAAGTAGTTTGTTAGATTATGTATTGGTGGATAAAAGGTTGATTGGTAGGCTCCAGGATGTACATGTTTATAGAGGGGCAACTGATATATCGGATCATTATTTAGTTGTAGCTACAGTTAGAGTAAGAGGTAGATGGGAAAAGAGGAAGGTGGCAACAACAAGTAAGAGGGAGGTGAAAGTGTATAAACTAAGGGAGGAGGAAGTTCGGGGGAGATATAAGCGACTGTTGGCAGAAAGGTGGGCTAGTGCAAAGATGAGTAGTTGGGGGGTTGAAGAGGGTTGGAATAGTTTTAAAAATGCAGTATTAGAATGTGGGGCAGAAGTTTGTGGTTATAGGAGGGTGGGGGCAGGTGGAAAGAGGAGTGATTGGTGGAATGATGAAGTAAAGGGTGTGATAAAAGAGAAAAAGTTAGCTTATGAGAGGTTTTTACAAAGCAGAAGTGTTATTAGAAAAGCAGAGTATATGGACAGTAAAAGAAAGGTGAAGAGAGTGGTGAGAGAGTGCAAAAGGAGAGCAGATGATAGAGTGGGAGAGGCACTGTCAAGAAATTTTAATGAAAATAAGAAAAAATTTTGGAGTGAGTTAAACAAGTTAAGAAAGTGTAGGGAAAGTATGGATTTGTCAGTTAAAAACAGAGTAGGGGAGTTAGTAGATGGGGAGAGGGAGGTATTAGGTAGATGGCGAGAATATTTTGAGGAACTTTTAAATTTTGAGGAAGAAAGGGAGGTGGTAATTTCATGCACTAGTCAGGGAGGTATACCATCTTTTAGGAGTGAAGAAGAGCAGAATGTAAGTGTGGGGGAGGTACGTGAGCCATTATGTAGAATGAAAGGGGGTAAAGCAGCTGGAACTGATGGGATCATGACAGAAATGTTAAAAGCAGGTGGGGATATAGTGTTGGAGTGGTTGGTACTTTTGTTTAATAAATGTATGAAAGAGGGGAAGGTACCTAGGGATTGGCGGAGAGCATGTATAGTCCCTTTATATAAAGGGAAAGGGGACAAAAGAGATTGTAAAAATTATAGAGGAATAAGTTTATTGAGTATACCAGGAAAAGTGTATGGTAGGGTTATAATTGAAAGAATTAGAGGTAAGACAGAATGTAGGATTGCGGATGAGCAAGGAGGTTTCAGAGTGCGTAGGGGATGTGTAGATCAAGTGTTTACATTGAAGCATATATGTGAACAGTATTTAGATAAAGGTAGGGAAGTTTTTATTGCATTTATGGATTTAGAAAAGGCATATGATAGAGTGGATAGGGGAGCAATGTGGCAGATGTTGCAAGTATATGGAATAGGTGGTAAGTTACTAAATGCTGTAAAGAGTTTTTATGGGGACAGTGAGGCTCAGGTTAGGTTGTGTAGAAGAGAGGGAGACTACTTCCCGGTATAAGTAGGTCTTAGACAGGGATGTGTAATGTCACCATGGTTGTTTAATATATTTATAGATGGGGTTGTAAAAGAAGTAAATGATAGTGTGTTTGGGAGAGGGGTGGGATTAAATTATGGGGAATCAAATTCAAAATGGGAATTAACACAGTTACGTTTTGCTGATGATACTGTGCTTATGGGAGATTCTAAAGAAAAATTGCAAAGGTTAGTGGATGAGTTTGGGAATGTGTGTAAAGGTAGAAAGTTGAAAGTGAACATAGAAAAGAGTAAGGTGATGAGGGTATCAAATGATTTAGATAAAGAAAAATTGGATATCAAATTGGGAAGGAGGAGTATGGAAGAAGTAAATGTTTTCAGATACTTGGGAGTTGACGTGTCGGCGGATGGATTTATGAAGGATGAGGTTAATCATAGAATTGATGAGGGAAAAAAGGTGAGTGGTGCATTGAGGTATATGTGGAGTCAAAAAACGTTATCTATGGAGGCAAAGAAGGGAATGTATGAAAGTATAGTAGTACCAACACTCTTATATGGGTGTGAAGCTTGGGTGGTAAATGCAGCAGCGAGGAGACGGTTGGAGGCAGTGGACATGTCCTGTCTAAGGGCAATGTGTGGTGTAAATATTATGCAGAAAATTCGGAGTGTGGAAATTAGGAAAAGGTGTGGAGTTAATAAAAGTATTAGTCAGAGGGCAGAAGAGGGGTTGTTGAGGTGGTTTGGTCATTTAGAGAGAATGGATCAAAGTAGAATGACATGGAAAGCATATAAATCTATAGGGGAAGGAAGGCGAGGTAGGGGTCGTCCTCGAAAGGGTTGGAGAGAGGGGGTAAAGGAGGTTTTGTGGGCAAGGGGCTTGGACTTCCAGCAAGCGTGCATGAGCGTGTTAGATAGGAGTGAATGGAGACGAATGGTACTTGGGACCTGACGATCTGTTGGAGTGTGAGCAGGGTAATATTTAGTGAAGGGATTCAGGGAAACCGGTTATTTTTATATAGTCGGACTTGAGTCCTGGAAATGGGAAGTACAATGCCTGCACTTTAAAGGAGGGGTTTGGGATATTGGCAGTTTGGAGGGATATGTTGTGTATCTTTATACGTATATGCTTCTAAACTGTTGTATTCTGAGCACCTCTGCAAAAACAGTGATTATGTGTGAGTGTGGTGAAAGTGTTGAATGATGATGAAAGCATTTTCTTTTTGGGGATTTTCTTTCTTTTTTGGTTCACCCTGCCTCGGTGGGAGACGGCCGACTTGTTGAAAGAAAAAAAAAAAAATTATCAGTTGATAGAATGGCAAAGCTTTCTAATCTTTCTTGAGATGAAAATTTCAGGAGAAAGTTTTAATTTGTTTCATTGCAAAGAACCTGTTCTCTTCATATTCAGTCAATGCTGGAATCATTAAAATTGGTTCACATTTGCTAGCAGTTTCACTATAAGTTGATAAGTAAGACACATGGGCAGCTCTTAGGCATCTTTATTAATGAAATGTTTTGCCTGCTCATCAGGCTTCATCAGTTGAATACAGAGGTGATTGCAATCCTGGAGACAGTAGAGGTGGAGAGGTAGTTTGAGATCATCAGTCACTCAGCCTTGATGGAAGATCATCAGTCTCTTATCCTGAAGCAGAGGCATGAGGCCAGAGATGTGTATACTGGAACTGAAAATGAGGTGTAGCAGCTTGGAGATGAGGTCACATGTAAACAGGGGCCCACTACTTGAAGTAGGTCATGCTTGTTAGTAAAAGAGTTGTTGAAAGACATTCCCTGCCTTAACCCTTTCAGGGTCCGTCCTGTAGATCTACGGCTTTACGTTCAGGGTCCAAACCGTAGATCTACGCCATGAGCTCAGCTCACTCTGATAAATTGTGAATGGTAAATTTGGGCCTAGATATGAGAGAATACATCTATGTGGTATGTGTGCACCACATAAAACAAATACTGCAGCACATTGTGTATAATGAGAGAAAAAAAACTGAGACCATGATTTTAGATTAAAACAGCGACTTTGCAGTGTTTTTTCGTATGTTTTTTATAGTTGTATTTGCGATTTCGTGGTCTCATTTGATAGAATGGATGATACATTACAGAAATAGAGATGATTTTGATTGGTTTTAGCACTGGAAATAGCTTGAAACTGAGCTCAAAGTAGCGGAAATGTTAAATTTTTGCCGATGTTCAAGACTAAACAAACGACCTCACACGTCTAATACACGCCAGCTGGTGGGTCTAATATACATTCACAAATGTGGCGATGATATTTATACATTTATTACAATATTGCATAACAGTAAATCTTATTTTTTGGTGTGAATAAAAAATCATTGTGAATAAAAAATTAAAATGGAATTTATTTGTAAAGCCTCAAAACGTAACTAATGAACAGAGGAAATGTTAATTTAGTGCCAGGAATACCTACATTGTTTATTCTGGACCCTATTTCGAAATTGGAATATTTTGAACTTTGTGTTAAATTGGCCAAATTACCAATTTCCGATCACTTTATTTTGTAGTTGAAACAGTTGACTTGGCGATTTCTTGTGCTCAATCAATAGAATAGAAGTAATACTAGTGAAATAGCTAAGAATTTGGTCGACTGGAATAATGTAATTGGCCTAAAATGGGAGTCAAAGTCGGCAAAATCGCTGATTCATAAATATCGCTGACACATCAAAATTCGCGAGAGCATAATTTCATCAATTTTCCATCAAATTTCGTACTTTTTGTTTTATTACCTTCACAAAAAGATTCTCTACCATTTCATAAGAAAAAAAGTTTTTTTTTTTTTAAATTCTTGGACACTGGGGCACCACATCAGATTTTGGCCTTGGACCCTGAAAGGGGTAAGATACTGTTGTTGCCATGTCAGGTGTCTGATCTTGTCTATCATGCAGGTCTCCTGTCTGTAGGATATTCTCATAAACAGTGTCAAAGAGTGATTTTTCATAACCAATGTGCAGAAAGAGCAACTCTCCATGTTTAAAAAAAAGTGTGTTTAGCAAGTTCTTGAATTATACAAAGATGTTAAAACAGAACAAACACAAAAATAGAGTGAAGTAAATCATAAGGTGATTACTTTTTATTAACCCTTTCAGGGTTTGTGCCGTAGTTCAATGGCTTTGAAGCCAGTGTCAGTGCTGTAGTTCTTCGCCACGAGCTCAGCTCACTCAAATAAAATGCGAGTGGTAAATTTGGGCTTAGATATGGGAGAATCGGTCTGTGTGGTAATGTGCACCATCTAAAAGAATATCCTGCAGCATGCAGTGCATAATGAGGAAAAAACAGGACCTTGTTTTTGGTTTAAAACAGCAATTTTGTTATGTATTTTCACATGATTTTTATGGTTGTATTCATAGTTTCTTGGTCTCAATTGACAGAATGGAAAATAAGTTACAGATATAGAGATGATTTTGATTGGTTTTAGAAATGAAAATAGCTTGAAATTGAGCTCAAAATAGCAGAAATGTTTGATTTTTGCTGATGTTCAAGAGTAAAAAAATCACTTCACCCTTCCAATACATGTCAACTGGTGGGTCTAATATGCATTCACAAATGCGCTGATATTATTTTTACAATTATTCCAATATTGCATAACAGTAAATCTTCCATTTTATTGTGCGTGTGTGAATAAAAAGTCAAAAGAAAATTGTGTGTAAAGCCTGGAAACATAACTAATGAACAGAGGAGGTGTTATTTTAGTGCTGGGAATGCCTACATTGTTTATTCTGGACCATATTTTAAAATTGAAATATTTTGAAATTTGTGTGAAATCGGACAAATTCTCAGTTTCTGATCACTTTATTGGGTAGTTGAAATAGTTGGTTGGGTGGTTTCTTGTGCTCAGTCGATAAAATGGAATAGTGAAATAGCTAAGAATTTGGTTGACTGGAACACTGTAATTGCCCTAAAATGGGACTCAAAGTGGGCAAAATAGCCGATAGCATAATTTCATCAATTTCCCATCAGATTTCGTACTTTTGTTTTATTACCTTCCGAAAAAGATTCTCTACTTCATAATTTATATTTTTGGACAGTGATATTAGTTTACTTGCAAGTCATCTTCTGGTAGGATGCACACTATTTTCTTTCCATTTGTTAATGTTCTCTTTTCTAGAATTATGAATTTATTTTAATAAAGAAGAAGTGCTAAACATGTAGAGGCCATAAAGTACTTGAAGAATAGGAACTAATCATGTTCAGTGCAATGAAGATACAGGTAAGTCCAGTTCCTTGGATCAAGAGTTTACTTACCACTGGCATAAAGGCACCTCCCTTAAGGGGTAGTGCTGTGAAGCAATCCTGTATTTATGATGGATAAATATACTTAGTTCTAGGTAGTAGGTTGGTAGACAGCAACTGCCCAGGGAGGTACTACCATCCTGCCAAGTGAGTGTAAAATGAAAGCCTGTAATTGTTTTACATGATGGTAGGATTGCTGGTGTCCTTTTTTCTGACTCATAAACATGCAAGGTTTCAGGCACATCTTGCTACTTTTACTTACACTTAGGTCACACTACACATACATGTACAAGCATATATATACACACCCCTCTGGGTTTTCTGCTATTTTCTTTCTAGTTCTTGTTTATTTCCTCTTACCTCCATGGGGAAGTGGAACAGAATTCTTCCTCCGTAAGCCATGCGTGTTGTAAGAGGCAACTAAAATGCCGGGAGCAAGGGGCTAGTAACCCCTTCTCCTGTATAAATTACTAAATTTAAAAAAGAGAAGCTTTTGTTTTTCTTTTTGGGCCACCCTGCCTCAGTGGGATACGGCCGGTTTGTTGAAAGAAAGAAATATACTTAGTAAGATGCTTCCACAGCCATTATCATTAGGAAGAGAAGTGATGTGTATATCTCACCCTTAGGGTCACATTATTACATTCACACTTTCATTCCAAGCTCAGCTTGTACAGGTATCCCTTTTTTTATGTAATAGATATGTTCCAGGCTCTCTGCCTCCACCATAAAATGTTGTTTGAACCACTACTCAAATGTTTGGCTGTTTGCAGTCAGTTGTTTTGGCATCATGCTTTTATTCATATAGGAGAAAATTTGCATCACACAGGGAATTACTGGTAGAAATGGAATCATTGGATAATGGTGAATTCGTATATGGTGAACCCTCATAAACAAGGATTATTGTACTGTACACGATTATTCTTGAGTGTTCATTTTTATTTCTGTCCTCCTAATATATTTCATTCCTAGTTTGTTACTGTATTTATTCCAAATTCTAGCTGTATTTAATTTGTGTACCATCAGTGAGCAATGTAGCAGAAGGAAACGTAGAGCAATTTGGCTTGTATGGAGGATATGAACGAGTTGACCAAGGATGGTTAGTGAAAGACTCGGTGGTTCAGTTCCGGCTCTGTAACTCCACCCTCTACAATGACCCCATAATGCTTTTTAAGAAGAAGTACCAAAATAAAAATGTAAGTACATGTATTGGAAGATCTTTTTTTGTAACTTAGCGAGGCTAACATAACTATGGTGTTTGATAATCACAGGGTTGTTTGAGTAATTGAAGTATCATTGTGTTACATTTGTATTTCTTAACAGAGTATCATATTTCTGAAAATCTTGTTTGAATTTGGTGTATTGTAGGAATTGGTGGCAGAGGTTATTCTCTGGCTTTTCATTTACTGGGTTGTATAAAATCTGTACTAGCTATTGTGCGTAAAATATAAATTATTTAGAACTCTTAGTATTTTGCATAGTATGTGTCATTAGTCATGTTGGATGTAAAATTAAAGGTCGTGTACAATTCACTGTGAAATACATCTCCATATTAGAGACAGTTGATCATGACTAAAAGATACATTTTGATAGATAACATACCACATAGGGTAATCTCAAGTTTCCCATACACTGCCATATTTTCAGCATATTTTAAGATGCTCATCTTGTCTCAAATGTCTTAGATTGTAAGAAGTGTGCTGGAACTACAAGTAGTAGTTTATTCTTTCTCACTGCCTGCTGAGTGTGATAATATAAATTATATTGGTACAGTTAAAGTTATAAGTAGTAGGTTGGTAGACAGCGGCCACCCAGGGAGGTACTACCATCCTGCCAAGTGAGTGTAAAACGAAAGCCTGTAATTGTTTTACATGATGGTAGGATTGCTGGTGTCTTTTGTCTGTTTCATAAACATGCAAGATTTCAGGTATGTCTTGCTACTTCTTACACTTAGGTCACACTACACATACATTTACAAGTATATATATACACACCCCTCTGGGTTTTCTTCTATTTTCTTTCTAGTTCATGTTTATTTCCTGTTATCTCCATGGGGAAGTGGAACAGAATTCTTCCTCCGTAAGCCATGCGTGTTTTAAGAGGCTACTAAAATGCCGGGAGCAAGGGGCTAAACCCCTTCTCCTGTATAAATTACTAAATTTAAAAAGAGAAACTTATGTTTTTCTTTTTGGGCCACCCTGCCTCGGTGGGATATGGCCGGTTTGTTGAAAAGAAAAGTTAGTTAAAGTTTCAGACTTTGTTAAGAGAGTGTTCAGGCAGTTTTGGACGAAGTGAGAAAGTAATTGGGGGGAGGGGGGACCTAAATGCTGAAGTGGGAGAAACTCTTGTATTGGGCCAGGAGTGCCAGGGGTGAATGATAATGGGGGGGACCTTCAATTAAACCTAGTATAGAATGAGGTTTGGTAATAGGCAGTATATCGTATTTTCGGTTTTCTTTCAACAAACTGGCCTTATCCCACTGAAGCAGAGTGGCCCAAAGATAATAACAAAAGTTTCTCCTTTAAACTTTAGTAATGTATACAGGAGAAGGGGTTTCTAGCCCCTTGCTCTTGGCATATTAGTTGTCTGTTACGACATGCATGACTTATGGAGGAAGAATTCTGTTCCACTTCCCCCTGGAGAATATCGTATCTTTTCTTTCTTTCTTTCAACACACCGGCCGTATCCCACCGAGGCGGGGTGGCACAAAAGGAAAAACACAAGTTTCTCCTTTCACATTTAGTAATATATACAGGAGAAGGGGTTACTAGCCCCTTGCTCCTGGCATTTTAGTCACCTCTTACAACATGCATAGCTTATGGAGGAAGAATTCTGTTCCACTTCCCCATGGAGATAAGAGGAAATAAACAAGAACTAGTAAGAAAATAGAAGAAAACCCAGAGGGGTGTGTATATATATGCTTGTACATGTATGTGTAGTGTGACCTAAGTGTAAGTAGAAGTAGCAAGACATGCCTGAAACCTTGCATGTTTATGAGTCAGAAAAAACACCAGCAATCCTACCATCATGTAAAACAATTACAGGCTTTCATTTTACACTCACTTGGCAAGACAGTAGTACCTCCCTGGGCAGCTGCTGTCTATCAACCTACTACCTAGAATATCGTATCTTATGGGCATAAAATTAAATTACCGGGTATTCAAGTTCTGCAAAGTGTTAAAGTTTGTAAAAACTAAAAGCCTCGGTTAACACCTGATTGGTGTGTCCTTCATTAGATAACTTCCTTTCTTAGGAAGATATACTTATGAAAATAGGACAAGAGTGCATGTGTTTCTACAAGAAGTTCATAGTTATACATAGCATTTTAGTCAGTGTTAGGCTAGGACTTTACTAACAACATAAAAAGTATTGAGCAAAATGTAATAACCATTGGTGTTAGGAAAATTTACTTGACAATTTTCGTACTTCATGAAGAGCTGCAATACTGTATATTATGAAGAAATACACATTTGTGTAAAGACAGTTTTTATCTTCTTTTGAATATTAAAAGAAAAATAAATGTTTGATGTACATATGAAGACAAAATAAATTTTATTTGTTTTTGCAGGTTAGGGTAAAAGTGACTCCAATTGACCTAATCAACAGTCCTCATGAGCCTCACATGGGAGGAATAGATGAGAGTACAGATTTTGATATTTCCAGTCTACATATCAATACTAAACCTACTTGGCCTATCACAGAAGTTGCTGTAAGTCTTGTTGTTTTGTCCTCCCATCCCTTAGGAGTTCATCAATTTTAATGGGTTAATGTTAGTTTTGTGTGCAAATGTTCTTTTAGCCAGTCAAAATACAACCATAGAAATCCAAAACTCTTTGATATGAGTTTTTTCTTGTATTGTGGATTTTTATTTTATACAAACAGAATTGTGTACATATGTACTCGTGTACAGAAAATACCCAGTCTAAACAGATTGGATGTACTTTGATTCTTTATACTTTCAAGAATGTATTATTCCATGTCTCCATATGCCTAACTTTCATCAAGATCTGTTTTTTCAACAAACCAGCTGTACCCTACCGAGGCAGGGTGACCCATAAAGAAAAACAATTTTTTTTTAATATACCTTTCATATACCTTTGAAGAGTTCTGAGAGTTTCTCTACTCTCTGATGCTTGCCTGGTCAACCAGGCTGTTGCTGCTGGAGGCCCACTGCCCCACATATCCATCACAGCCTGGTTGATCTGGCACCTGGTGAAGATACGTGTCCAGTTTTCTCTTGAAGACTTCTACACTTGTCCTAGCGATGTTTCTGATATCTTCTGGTAAGATATTGAATAGTCTGGGACCCCAGATGTTATACAGTGTTCCCTTATTGTCCCCACTGCACCCCTGCTCTTCACTGGGTTTATTTTACATTTCCTCCCATATCTCTCACTCCAGTATTTTGTTATAGCAGTGTGCAGATTTGGGATCAGGCCCTCGAGTACTTTCCAGGTGTATGTACGTATTATTGTGTATCTCTCCTCCGCTCCATTGAGTACATGTTCAATACTTGAAGGTGTTCCCAGTAGTTTAGGTGTTTTGCTGGCTCAGTGTGAGCTGTAAACGATCTCTGTATTTGTTCCAGTTCCGATATTTCTCCTGCTTTGAATGGGGCTGTCAGCACTGAGCAATATTCTAAGTGAGGGAGCACTAGTGATTTGAAGTGTCACCATCGGCATTATTTCCCTTGTTTTGAAAGTTCTCGGTACCCACCCCATCATTTTCCTGACTGTTGTGATCTTTGTCTTGTTATGGTCTTTGAAAGAAAGGCCAGCTGACATAATTATTCCCAGGTCTTTTACATGTTCCTTACGTTCTATTTGGTGACCCTCTTGAGTTTTGTATATAGTGTTCCTTTTGACCTACCTAAGCAGCTGGAACTTATCACCATTGAATGTCATGTTGTTCTCCACTGCCCACTGGAAAACCCTGCTTATGTCTTCCTGTACTTTTTCAGTGTCCTCTACCATAGTGACTTTCATGCTTATTTTAGTGTCACTTGCAAATGATGATACAAAAGTGTGCTGGGTGTTTTTTATCTATATCTGCTATGAGGATGAGAAACAGCTGAGGTGCCAAGGCAGTGCCTTGGGGCACTGAACTTTTTACCTCACTGATGCTGGGTCTTGCCCTATTTGCTACTACAGGAGAAGGGGTTAACTAGCCCCTTGCTTCTGGCATTTTAGTCACCTCTTGCAACACGCATGGCTTATGGAGGAAGAATTCTGTTTCATCTTCCTGTGGAGATAAGCGGAAATAAACAAGAACAAGAACTAGGAAGAAAATAGAAGAAAACCCAGAGGGGGGTTATATATATATGCTTGTACATGCATGTGTCTCCATGAGGAAGTGGAACAGAATTCTTCCTCCGTAAGCCATGCGTGTTGGGATCCTCTCTAAGATACGTTACTACGTACCAAATTCAGCCCTACTCGCACTATATTATTCACTCATCTATCCCTACCTCTACTATTGCTATTTGTGCCTGGGTGGTTATTGGCTTTACCTGGAGTTTATCTGGAGAGAGTTCCGGAGGTCAACGCCCCCGTGGCCCGGTCTGTGACCAGGCCTCCTGGTGGATCAGAGCCTGATCAACCAGGCTGTTACTGCTGGCTGCATGCAATCCAGCATACGAGCCACAGCCCGGCTGGTCAGGTACTGATTTTAGGTGCTTGTCCAATGCCAGCTTGAAGACTGTCAGGGGTTTATTGGTAATCCCCCTTATGTATGCTCGGAGGCAGTTGAACAGTCTCGGGCCCCTGACACTTATTGTATTGTCTCTTAACGTGCTAGTGACACCCCTGCTTTTCATTGGGGGGATGTTGCATCGTCTGCCAAGTCTTTTGCTTTCGTTGTGAGTGATTTTCGTGTGCAAGTTCGGTACTAGTCCCTCTAGGATTTTCCAGGTGTATATAATCATGTATCTCTCCCTCCTGCATTCCAGGGAATACAGGTTCAGGAACTTCAAACGCTCCCAGTAATTGAGGTGTTTTATCTCCGTTATGCACACTGTGAAGGTTCTCTGTACATTTTCTAGGTCGGCAATTTCACCTGCCTTGAAAGGTGCTGTTAGTGTGCAGCAATATTCCAGCCTAGGTAGAACAAGCGACCTGAAGAGTGTCATCATGGGCTTGGCATCCCTAGTTTTGAAGGTTCTCATTATCCGTCCTGTCATTTTTCTAGCAGCTGCGATTGATACAGTGTTATGGTCCTTGAAGGTGAGATCCTCCGACATCATCACTCCCAGGTCTTTGACGTTGGGTTTTCGTTTTGTTTTGTGGCCGGAATTTGTTTTGTACTCTGATGAAGTTTTAATTTCCTCGTGTTTACCATATCGGAGTAATTGAAATTTCTCATCGTTGAACATTGAACTTTACCAATAATCACCCAACAAAAAGCTGCTGTAAGAATTACCATGCAATCCAATTGTAGGCAAATGAGAGAGTGGGTGAGATGTTATCAACAAATTTTGTTGAAAATAAGAAAAAGTTTTGGAGTGAGATTAACAAGTTAAGAAAGCCTAGAGAACAAATGGATTTGTCAGTTAAAAATAGGAGAGGAGAGTTATTAAATGGAGAGTTAGAGGTATTGGGAAGATGGAGGGAACATTTTGAGGAATTGTTAAATGTTGATGAAGATAGGGAAGCTGTGATTTCGTGTATAGGGCAAGGAGGAATAACATCTTGTAGGAGCGAGGAAGAGCCAGTTGTGAGTGTGGGGAAGTTCGTGAGGCAGTAGGTAAAATGAAAGGGGGTAAGGCAGCCGGGATTGATGGGATAAAGATAGAAATGTTAAAAGCAGGTGGGGATATAGTTTTGGAGTGGTTGGTGCAATTATTTAATAAATGTATGGAAGAGGGTAAGGTACCTAGGGATTGGCAGAGAGCATGCATAGTTCCTTTGTATAAAGGCAAAGGGGATAAAAGAGAGTGCAAAAATTATAGGGGGATAAGTCTGTTGAGTGTACCTGGTAAAGTGTATGGTAGAGTTATAATTGAAAGAATTAAGAGTAAGACGGAGAATAGGATAGCAGATGAACAAGGAGGCTTTAGGAAAGGTAGGGGGTGTGTGGACCAGGTGTTTACAGTGAAACATATAAGTGAACAGTATTTAGATAAGGCTAAAGAGGTCTTTGTGGCATTTATGGATTTGGAAAAGGCGTATGACAGGGTGGATAGGGGGGCAGTGTGGCAGATGTTGCAAGTGTATGGTGTAGGAGGTAGGTTACTGAAAGCAGTGAAGAGTTTTTACGAGGATAGTGAGGCTCAAGTTAGAGTATGTAGGAAAGAGGGAAATTTTTTCCCAGTAAAAGTAGGCCTTAGACAAGGATGTGTGATGTCACCGTGGTTGTTTAATATATTTATAGATGGGGTTGTAAGAGAAGTAAATGCGAGGGTCTTGGCAAGAGGCGTGGAGTTAAAAGATAAAGAATCACACACAAAGTGGGAGTTGTCACAGCTGCTCTTTGCTGATGACACTGTGCTCTTGGGAGATTCTGAAGAGAAGCTGCAGAGATTGGTGGATGAATTTGGTAGGGTGTGCAAAAGAAGAAAATTAAAGGTGAATACAGGAAAGAGTAAGGTTATGAGGATAACAAAAAGATTAGGTGATGAAAGATTGAATATCAGATTGGAGGGAGAGAGTATGGAGGAGGTGAACGTATTCAGATATTTGGGAGTGGACGTGTCAGCGGATGGGTCTATGAAAGATGAGGTGAATCATAGAATTGATGAGGGAAAAAGAGTGAGTGGTGCACTTAGGAGTCTGTGGAGACAAAGAACTTTGTCCTTGGAGGCAAAGAGGGGAATGTATGAGAGTATAGTTTTACCAACGCTCTTATATGGGTGTGAAGCGTGGGTGATGAATGTTGCAGCGAGGAGAAGGCTGGAGGCAGTGGAGATGTCATGTCTGAGGGCAATGTGTGGTGTGAATATAATGCAGAGAATTCGTAGTTTGGAAGTTAGGAGGAGGTGCGGGATTACCAAAACTGTTGTCCAGAGGGCTGAGGAAGGGTTGTTGAGGTGGTTTGGACATGTAGAGAGAATGGAGCAAAACAGAATAACTTCAAGAGTGTATCAGTCTGTAGTGGAAGGAAGGCGGGGTAGGGGTCAGCCTAGGAAGGGTTGGAGGGAGGGGGTAAAGGAGGTTTTGTGTGCGAGGGGCTTGGACTTCCAGCAGGCATGCGTGAGCGTGTTTGATAGGAGTGAATGGAGACAAATGTTTTTTAATACTTGACGTGCTGTTGGAGTGTGAGCAAAGTAACATTTATGAAGGGATTCAGGGAAACCGGCAGGCCGGACTTGAGTCCTGGAGATGGGAAGTACAGTGCCTGCACTCTGAAGGAGGGGTGTTAATGTTGCAGTTTAAAAACTGTAGTGTAAAGCACCCTTCTGGCAAGACAGTGATGGAGTGAATGATGGTGAAAGTTTTTCTTTTTCGGGCCACCCTGCCTTGGTGGGAATCGGCCAGTGTGATAATAAAAAAAAATATATAAACCATACATTGTAAGCATTGCAAGGAAATAAACATTTTTTTTTTTTTCAACAAGTCGGCCGTCTCCCACCGAGGCAGGGTGATCCAAAAAAGAAAGAAAATTCCCAAAAAGAAAATGCTTTCATCATCATTCAACACTCTCCACACTCACACATAATCACTGTTTTTGCAGTGGTGCTCAGAATACAACAGTTTAGAAGCATATATGTATAAA